TATTAATTTAGCTGATTATAAGAATTGATTTAATCATTATGGATTGATAATGAATAGCGTGAACAAACAAACAGCAGGGGGAAGGGTGTTTTATAAAACTATCCTTGAGTCTTATGTTTGCTTTAATATACTGAAACATGAATACGGATCTTCCCCTTCCCTTTCTTTTTTTTTTTTTTACTCTTCTTCTTCCATAATTTTTTGCATCCTTAAGAATAAAAGTAGTTAGTGATGTAGCATGTTAGATACTTATGTTAACATGTTAACTAAGGTCAGCCACCAGCATCTGGAATTGACCATCTATGGTAGATAATTTGTCTTCAAATTTAAGCTGTAAAGCAGTTCTTTAAGTGTATGGTATGACAAGTTTGTTTAATTTGACGCATAATTTGGTTGTCTACAGATTAGGAACTGGTAAAGATATGTCACAAACTAATAGAAAATATAGGTAGTAGTTGTTTGGAATTGGTTATAATGTAAGAATGCTGCATGCTGAAGATAGTTTTAAATCCGCTGAGCTAGGAAATTTTCACCTCCTTGCCTATTTCAGGGGCAACACAAATAATAAGGCATTGGACCAGCTATCAATTATGAAATGGCAAGGCTAATGCTGTTACCCATGTACATAATGAAGGGCAACAAAAACTCTGTTACCATTTGATTATTTTTTATTCTATTTATCTATGTCTTTGTAATTCCATGAACCGCTTTAAATTTTAAGACTTAGCATTTAGGTTTTCAATTGTTGAGCAACATACACGATTGCCTAGATGCAGGATGTAACCAGCTCTTGGAAAATGGAAAATGTGCAATTCATTATCCTCTGCATTGGGGTATGGCCATTCTAATTGGTGATTTTTACCTTTCTTCAGTCCTTCAATGTGGTGTTATGATTCCACAAGATTTCTAACATCATGACTTTTCTGAGGCTCATTACCATGCATTGCTCTGTATGTTATTCTGATTCATTATACTTTGTTCGTGTTCCCAGAGACCCTGATCTTTGCAATAAGTTTTGTTGGATGACGATTTAGATTTCTTTTAGGGAAGGTGAAGTTGACTTTTATTGAGGGAAATTAGATCATAGTAGATCCACTAACATGGTTACTCAAATATGATGATTGATGCTCAAAAGCCAATTTTTAAAAGTTGAATGTCATCCTTTCGCAGCCTCTTCCTTCCCCTGCTTCCTATTAAAGTTTTTCCTCAAATTGTCATAATCATTTCTTGAAGCGTACGTGGATTTGAAATGAAGAAGTGTTTCTGAACCTGATTTATGTACTATGCACCATTAGGTCTGTGTCCTGCATTTGCCACCCTAGATTATTTCCATCACCAGTGAAATGAAAACTTTACAAGCTTTGGAACAATCAATTCACTTGAGCTGATCTGGCAATTACTCGAGTTGGGCTAAATTTGGGTTGTTTTAGGTTTCAGTTCAAATTAGGTCGTGTTGTTGGCTTTTTAAGGCTCCGTTGCTTGTCGGTTTTGCAATTTGCCTTCAGAGGCAAAAAGGAAGAGACAAGTTTGGTTATAAAAGCAAATAAAATTTTTGAATGATTACTCGCAAAATATATATTCTTTTAGATGATTAAAAGCATGTTTCTTCTTCTTCTTCTTCTTCTTCTTCTTCTATATAGGCTGATTATGTTATAATAAGTTTTCTTATACATTTTAACTATTTGTCCATTTTAAATCAATTATGGTATTTTATTTTTTTACCTTTACTTTTTACTTTATAGCAATTTTTTAAATTGCAAATTGCAAAAATCAAGTAGCAAAAGCATTTACTAAACGAAGCTCAAGTGAATTTAGATTGCGTTGGGTTGTTTGGATCAAAATCTACCATTTTTATTAATTTGTTACAGGTTTTGTCAGAAAAGAAAAAAAATAGAGGTGGCAGTTTCAAGTTTAGTGAGTCATTTTAGGCTGATTGCGTTCAGTTCATCATATATGTTCAGTTCATTATGGTTCGGATTGTTGACTTAACAATCTGCTTGGGTCGGGTTTGTTCTGCGGAGTTGTTTGGATGAGGTCGGTTTTTGCTACCTTTACCAAAGTAGGACAGCAAAGTTATATGAAATGATGAAGCTTGTTCTTTATATGTCATTCTCCTTTTGGCTTTTTGGGGACAAAGTTTGGAGCGTGATGAGCTGAACATGAATAGCAAGGGGCAAACTGTTTCTGTCACTTAATGATGGCAAGAAGCTCGGTGAAGAAGAGTGACCGGGACTGCAAACTTATAGTAGTTGCAGCAGAAATTGTACTTTTTAGTCATGCATTCTTTGCATCACTTTTTCTTTCTAAAGGAGAAAAGTTGCATTGCCTGCGCCTTAATGATGATACAAGAATTGCCTGGTATTCTGTCTTCATATTGACTGTTCTCTTCTCCAAGCTGCCCCACAAAGCTTCTTTTGCTTTTGTGGAGACCTAATCAGCTGTTTCATCTTTGGAACTTTGCATAATTTGCGCATGCCCCATTATGAGTACCGAAGACAATAGAAATATTCAAAGATGGATGAATTTAAAAAAAAAAAAAAAGATCATCCCATGCTACAGTACAGAAGTATGCTGTTAATTTCAGCTTGGTATCATGATTTTCAACTGTTGTCATTTTGCTTTCAACAGTCTTGCATTGTGTTCAGTGGGGGGGGGGGGGGGGAGGAAGGGAACGAGGGAGTGCGATAGAGCCATTTCCCAATTTGGTGGATGCAAATGAAAGGAGGGAAAGAAAAGGGGAGGACACTTCTTCTTTTCTCACCCATAAAATCCAATCGTTGGATAATTGGGAGGAAAATGAAAACAAAACATTCTGTCTATTAGATGAGTTGGTGGGTTTTTCATTTTAGCCTGAATTATTTTGTTTGTTGATAATATCCAATTATTGAGCTTATTTCTGTCTTTTTCATTTCATATATTTCTTCTATTCCCTAAATGTATGTGTGACTTTAGATATGAGAAAGTGAGGGGCGCATTTGAAGGAAAGTCAAAAGCTTCATCATTCTCTTGATGTTGCTTATAAGGCAGAGCATTCCTAGGATTCTTATCCAAAACTTATCTTAATCCAAGGATAAATTGTTTTGCTTACAGCAAATGGCTAATGGATGGTTCCTTTGACCCACATACTCTTCTCTCTCTCTCTCTCTCTCTCTCTCTCTCTCTCTCTCTCTCTCTCTCTCTCTCTGTGTGTGCTAGAACTCATTCTGCAAATACAATTTCATTTCTGCTTCTGAATTTGGCTTTTTCTTGCACATGTAAAAGCCTATCGGTAAATCTTAAGAAAGACAATATTTACTTGTGTTGGATGTCTATCGTAGTGAAGCGTCCAAGCAACATGTAATGTAATAAAAAAAAAAAAAAGGGGGGGTGTGGGGGTTAAACAGGACAAAGACATCGGAACGACAGTCATTGAAAAAGCATACGTCAGAATTTTTTTGTTTTCTTTTTTTTTTTAATTGCAAATTCACTATTACCATATATCCTTATTAGTCTCAGAAATTCCCACCAAACTTACTCTAACTCCACGTATCGTACATCAAAACAATGTGCTGCCTTCTACAACAACTAGCAATAGCAACCATCTTACTTTGTTAAAGAGGAATATTCAAGGGGTTGGTTTGCATTTGAAGTTTGAAACCAAGTCTGCATGCCTCACAACCAGTCTCGGTGTCAGAGCCAAAGGTAAATTTTCAAGTGTCGGAGGCAAAACGGCATTGAATTTATATGGACTGCGCATAATAGATTCGTATCTACTAGGGCTAGTAGTCGTTCAAGGTTGAAGATTAATAAGTTTGTAATTCCACGAACCACCCCTTACACATTTGCTTTAAATGAATAAGAGAAACCTACCTCAAATATCTCCAATCTGATTCTATTTCTGTAATTTAGGAAGAAGTAGCTCGAATTTTATATGTATGAATCTTACATGAAAGGGATATTCATTCAAATCAAAATTAGTAGGATGAAAACATTTTTATGTAGCATATGTTTGGCTCAACAAGTTTGACATGCATCAGCAAACAAATTACAACAAACAAAAAAACAAAATAATACACTTTTTTTAATCATTTAACATTAAAAAGAATAAATCTTAAAAGTTTCTGTTTCAATGAGAATATTGCAATTTTTTGGTCAAAATTCAAAGTAAATATTAATGTCCAATTTAAACTCTCCCAATCAAAATTTGAGCCCGAGCGTGTTGGCTCCACCTTTTAAATGAGGTGCGTGTGATTGATTGAAAAGCCGGCAGAAGAAAAGGAAAACATAAGAAAAGAAGTAAGTAAAATTTGACAAGGGCTTTCTTTGTCGTAAGAGGATTAGCATAGGTTTTCTTCGCTAAAAAATAGAAAGCTACCTATAGTAATTCTATTCAAATCTCTACCCAATCATTGGACCGTGAATAACACTTTCCACACTGCGAATTAACAACATTTAACTCAACTCGCATGGAGCGCCAAAAATTAAGCCCAAATTTTGGTTTGACTTATTGACTGCAAAAATTCTCATTTTCTACCCATTTTTATTTTTTATGAGAATCTTTTTTATCCACTTTAAAGTCTAGAAAATGCCAAGTATGATTTTTTAAAAAATAGTTTTATAGGTTTTCTTAATGAATACTTTTAAGCCTTTTTAATGATAATTAAAATACAATAAATTATTATGTAATATAATAAATTATGTTAATGTTATAAATTTTAATACATTGAATGAAAATATTTTTTACAAGTTCTTCGGCACCAGACATTGTTAAAATGATACATTTATCTAATAAGAAAATTTTGAAAAAAAAAAACAAAAAAATATTTTTGATATCTAACTTTTTTACAAGTAAACCATTAATCTATTTCACACTAATGTAGGATAAGAAATGTAACACTAATTATTGAGCTAGCAATACTTAAATAAAAAAATAAGAGTAATTTTGCATGTTTTTTTTTCCCTGTAGGTAGTATGGTAAAGAGAAACAGACGCTAGCTAGGCAGTAAAAGCCAAAAGTTAACAAGGAGGAATCACAGCTTGGCAGCAACTGCCACTGTGAAGCTTCCTGAATTCTAACGTCTATAAATCTCTTTATAGCAAGTTCCAGTAGTGTAAACAAATCAGATCTCTTTTCAACTATAAAAACTATATAAAATACTATATATAATCATATTGTAGGCCACCTTTTTGTTAAAGCAAACCCAGAATTCACGTGCTGGCTGTAAGTATATGTAACAGAATTAGTTTTTAGTATATACATATATATTTTTTGGGATAAAGATATTGCTTATGTTATCAGTATCATCATTGTAAATGTATTTATTGTTTCTTTTTTCCCCGCTTTATTAATTTATTTATCTTTTTATTTTTTGGGTGTTTACTGGCTTTATAGTGTTCTGAGGTGCAATTCCTGTGTGTAAAGATAAAGGGTATTTTGAGATGGGTCTGTGGAACAAGTTATGTGGGTTTTTGTTGAGTATTGCATTGCTGCTGGGGTGGGTGGTTTTGGGAGTGAAAGGGTATCCAGCAGAGGATCTGGTTGTGAAATTGCCTGGTCAGCCTGAAGTTGGGTTTAAGCAGTATGCTGGGTATGTTGATGTGGATGTCAAGGCTGGGAGGAGCTTGTTTTATTACTTTGTTGAAGCTGACAAGAACCCTGAAAAGAAGCCCCTCACTCTCTGGCTTAATGGAGGTTGGTTATTTGCTTTTTTTCAACTTGAATCTACTCGTTGTTTTGAAACTTCTGTTGTTTCTCGATTGAATTATGAGTTTTATGTGAAATATGTTGCATGGTTGTCTGTTGATGAGTATCATTAACCTTTTTCTCAAAAAGTAGCTTTTGACAATATTACCTGGGGATGGAAATCAACTGCATAATAGATAAATTGTGACTGCAATTCACTAAAAAAAATAGTAAAGAATTTGCTGCTGCTCCAGATGATTGCTGATAAGTTGATTCAAAGAGATGGATGATATGTTATGCTCTTGTAAGTAGATGATTCTGTTTATATTCTTATCCTCAAATTCCATTTCAGGGCCGGGATGTTCCTCCATTGGTGGGGGTGCTTTTACTGAATTGGGTCCGTTTTATCCTAGAGGTGATGGCCGAGGCCTTCGAAGGAATTCTTTGTCCTGGAATAGAGGTATAAAAATATGCTTATAGCATTTAAATGCAATAAACTTCAGCATTTAATTATAATAAATTCAAATTTGAATTATACTCACTTTCTTCTTTTCTCTCCCCTTTCTCTTAATAGCATCAAATCTCCTGTTTGTTGAGTCCCCTGTTGGTGTAGGTTGGTCATACTCAAATACTTCTTCAGATTATTATAGTGATGATGCATCCACTGGTAATGCAACTAGATTAGAACCGATTATTTTCTCTTCAACCTATTCTAAAATAGAGTTTTCGTAGCAATTTTTTTTAATATTAATTGAAGTTTCTTATATTAATTACTCTTGTTCTTGGCAGCCAAGGATATGCATATTTTCATGATGAAATGGTATGAGAAGTTCCCAGAATTCAAGTCCAGGGAATTGTTTCTGACAGGAGAAAGTTATGCAGGTTTGCCATTGCAATGAAGTTTCAGTTCTAGTTTTTTGTAATTGTAAGGCAAATTTGTTCAATTGCACAACTTTTTCTCTATTTTGAGATTTTATAAAGTTCTTATGAAAATGAAAAATAAGAGGAATCAGTTGTAACATATCAAAAGCATCTCTTGCTACGAGTCCCCTGATCCTTCTTAGGTAATTCCAGTCATCATCACAGTTTTCAACAAAAACTGCTACTTTATTTGTTCCCAAGAGAAATTTTTACTTCAGAGAAACATTGCAGAAAGTGCCTGTCTAAACAAAATGTTTAAACATGGCAAATCAGTTGCAATAACTAAATTTTATGTCCAAAATAAGTCTTTTATCATATCAAAATAGAATATTACATATTTGAGTAAAGATTTCTTTGGCTTTGAAAGATGAACAGAAATTTTCATGTTTGACTTGGTACAAACTGAAAGTAGTGTCGTATATCAGGCTGTAATCAGAACATTTTGAACCACTTTTTATTTTTGCTTCTTTTATCTTAATTTATCAGTTTTACAGTTTTATTACATGGTATAAATGTTGTTATACAGGACATTACGTACCGCAGTTGGCTGATGTTCTACTTGATCATAATGCACATTCATCTGGCTTTAAGTTTAACATCAAAGGAGTTGCTGTAAGAAAACCTGCACTGCATTACTTACCTATGGCTATGTTCTTTGATAAGAAACAAGAAAGAGAAAAAACCAATGAAAAACTAATATTTGGGACTTGCTGTTCTTCGCCTGATTTGTTTAACAATTCCCTGTGCATCCTTTTCATTTAGATTGGGAATCCCCTTCTCAGACTTGATCGGGATGTTCCAGCAACATATGAATTCTTTTGGTCGCACGGGATGATTTCTGATGAAATTGGCCTTACCATCATGAATGAATGTGATTTTGATGACTATGTCTTTGAGAGTCCTCATAATGTATCCCAGCCGTGCAAACAGGCCATAGCTGAAGCAAATAGCATTGTTGGTGATTATATAAATAATTATGATGTTATCCTAGATGTTTGCTATCCATCTATTGTAGAACAAGAGTTGCGATTGCGGAAGATGGTATTGTTTTCTTTTCCCTTTATTTGCTTTCCTTTTATTGTCCCATTGTAGCATGTTCTCCCTTGTTCACCTTTGCAATGATTCATTTTCCAAATATATGCAGGCCACTAAGATAAGTGTTGGAGTTGATGTGTGTATGACATATGAACGGCGTTTATACCTTAATCTCCCTGAGGTTCAGATGGCACTTCACGCGAATCGCACTAAATTATCTTATCCATGGAGTATGTGCAGTAGGTAGGTGAATTCGTCACTCTTCATCTTTTTGTAAACTGCAGAGGGGAAATGACTACATATTGCATCTTAAAATTTAACCGATACTAGTTTTCTATTTAGAATTTGTGATGATCCTTTATGCTAAGATACGAGATTTAACTGATGTATTTTGTTTTCTGCACTGAAAGACAATTACTGTACAGTGATACTGATGGTAACATAAACATCCTTCCTATTCTCGAAAAGATTATCCAAAATGGTATTCCTGTTTGGATATTCAGGTGAGATCCAAAATGCTATGGATTTTTTTTTTTGTTTTTTGAATTTCTTAACTTATTTGATTTATAGCGTGGTTGCTGAAACATATAATTGTCAAAACTAATAATTGCAGTGGGGATCAAGATTCTGTTGTGCCACTGCTTGGCTCGAGAACACTCGTCCGTGAACTGGCTCATGATTTGAAGTTCAAGATTACAGTCCCATATGGAGCTTGGTTTCACAAACGCCAGGTTCTTAACGCATGCCGGCTAATTTAAAGAGTTTGCTTTTACTGTTTGCACCTTTCTTGAGCAATGGACATTTTCTTGGGTTAATTTTTTGGTTAGGTTGGAGGTTGGGTGACTGAATATGGAAATTTGTTGACCTTTGCCACGGTGAGGGGGGCAGCACATATGGTACCCTATGCACAACCATCAAGAGCCTTGCATCTTTTCACTTCATTTGTTCGTGGCCGCAGACTGCCTAACAACACACGTCCTTCGATTGATGAATGAGAATACTGCACCCAACAGAACAGTGTGATAGAGTTTCGAGTTTTACAATTTGCTTATCCAAAGGTAATACAAATGATTGAGTTCTCAGGGAATAAGGTGTCGTCAGAAGAAAAGAGGACACTGAAGTTACAGTAGCAGAGAGGAGAATTTGATGTGGGACTTGTTCTTCATTAAAATAGTGGCAATTATTTTATCTGATTGAAATGGATCAGGCTCTGATTAACTGATAGAGTGAATTTTTTTTTTTTTTTTTGGATTGTGTGGAAATGTAATTTGATTCATTGGTTTAGATTTAATTGAACTGCATGCATCTCAATGAATTTATTTCCTGGAAAATATACATCAAGGGAGCTTGTACAGTTATTCAAAGAGTCGAAGTAGCTAGTGTAATCTGATTAATTGAAGCTTGTGGGTATTAAACCAACCATATCCAACTGGAACTAAATTGACAACCCGTGTCCAATTGCAAAGACAATATATTTTACCATTGCCAGCTATGTCTCTGCCATTGTTACAGAATTTATCTTCCCTTGATAAAAGAGAGTTTTATCAGTTTCGATGCCAATAATATTTTCTTTCTTAAGAGTTGTAACGGTAGTCTTTTTCAAGCCTCGGGCAATGTCCAGAGTTGTTGAGGTCCAAATCTGTCGTTCATGGTGACGTTCAACTGTAGGACTTGCTTGCTAGGGGGCCTCAATAACAAGAGTCATGCCCAAATCCGGTTACGAGGACCATAAAAAACGCAAAGAGCAATGTATATGCCATAAGATTCATACTAAGGATATGTGTAAAACAATGAAGAAAAGTCAAAAGTCATTACACATTCGACGAAATGTCTCAAACAAGAGAGCAGGCTTTAAAATTCGGCAAAATGATATATGCGCAGGGCTTGGAACTTAGGTTTTGATCAAAGAGTTGTTGGAAAATGCAATCCTTGATCTTTATGCCAAATGTGGGGATGTGCACTCTGCTGATATGGTGTTTGACGACCTCGAAAAGACAGATGTATTGGCTTGGAACTCAGTTACTTCAATTTATTCTAAACGAAGATTGGTAGAAGAAGTTGTTAAGAGAACTGGTCATTGCTGAATAGTGGAGTATTGCCAAATGAGTTCACATTTCCCGTCTGTTTGTGCTAGGTTGAAAGATGTTGAATTTGGTAGACTAGTGCATTTTTTATGTTGTTAAAATGGGGCTAGAAGCGAGTTCCTTTTGTGAAGGTGCTCTTATTGATATGTGTTCTAAGTGTAATTATGTGACTGAAGCTCGGCAGGTGTTTGATGGGTCAATGGACCTTGATACTGTTTCTAGGACATCGATGATTGCAGGTTTATATTAACGTTGGCTTGCTTAAGGAGGCGCTGAAAGTGTTTGAAAGTATGCAGAAAGCTGGTCATGTGCCTGAGCTGGTGGCTTTTGTTAGTATCATAAATGGATTTGTCCGCTTGGGTAGACTTGATGCATGTGCCTTGTTTTCCCAGATGCCCAATCAGAATATTGTGGCATGGAATGTGATGATTTCAGGGCATGCAAAGAGAGGTTATGAGGTGGAGGCTATTGGATTTTTTTCAAAATATGAGGGCATCTGGGGTTAAGTCTTCATGCTCCACATTAGGAAGTGTGTTGTGTGCGATTGCTAGTTTAGCAGCTCTGGAATTTGGCTTATCAGTTCATGCTGAGGCAATTAAACAAGGGTAAATTCTAACGTTTATGTGGGAAGCTCTTTAATCAGTATGTACGCTAAGTGTGAGAAAATTGATGCTGCGAAGAAAGTATTTGATGGGTTAGATGAGAAAAATGTTATCTTGTGGAATGCAATGCTTGGAGGTTGTGCACAAAACAGGTATGCTGACGAAGTCATTGAATTGTTCTCTCAGATGAAGGGGTCTGGTTTTCACCCTGATGAGTATACCTATACCAGTATCTTGAGTGCATGTGCTTGCTTAGAATGTCTAGAAACAGGTCGCCAATTTCATGCATTTATTATCAAAAACAAATTTGCATCGAACTTATTTGTCGCCAATGCATTGGTTGATATGCAAAATATGGGGGCTTTAAAGGAAGCAAGGCAGCAACTTGAGATTATAAAATATCGAGATAATGCATCATGGAATGCAATAGATTGTTGGATATGTGCAGGAGGAAAATGAGCTTGAGGCTTTTAACATGTTACGAAGAAGGATTTAGTATGAAATTGTGCCTGGTGAAGTGTCCTTGGCCAGTACACTCAGGAGCAAGGGAAGCAAGTCGATTGTCTTCCAGACAAATCTGGTTAGAAAAGAGCCTGGTTTAGAAAAGAGCCTCTATGCGGGAAGTGCCCTTATTGACAACATGTATGGGCCATTGGGGATGGTATGATTTGGGCTGCAAGCTACTTGGTGCTTGTAGAATAATACAGGGAGACGGCGGGCTGCGGAGAAACTGATTGAATCGGAACCCCAAAATTCTTCGCCCGATTTGCTGCTTTCTAACATATGAGAATATATGCTGCATCAGGAAGCAGGGACGAGGTTAATGCTTTGACGTGGGCAATGAGAGAGAAAAGAGTGCAGAAGCTGGATTGTCGTGGTACAGAAAACAAATTTGTTCATTGTTGACGATTAGTCTGATGCTAAAGCAGATGAAATTGAGGGAATTTTGAAGGATTTGCGAGTATTGATGAGAGAAGAGAGGCATCTATGCTATGGAAGTTGATTTATTTTTGCACAAGGAAGAATATGATTTTTTTTTTTTTTTTATATTAAATTTACCTAACTTCAATTTTATAAAAATAAAACTTAAAATTTTAATATTAAATACTAGAATTAGACTCGAATTTCACTTTAATTTTTTATTTTTTAAAATTATATTCTAAATATAAGAGAAGCAATATTTTTATATTAAGTTTTAATAAATGACAACATATAAATAAATATAAGCATATTTATTTTTAATATAAATTATAACTTTTTTTAAAATAATATAAATTATAACTTAATTATATATAAATTTAATTTTTTTATTAAATTAAAATATTAAATAATATTTTTATTAATATAATATATAAATCTAAATTAAATAAATAATAAAATAAAATTTATAAATCTAAGGGAAGGTCATGGCAAAGCGCCCCAAAGCCACTTTATTCAAATTGTTCAAAAAAATAAAATTTAACTTAATATTTATTTTAAAAAAATTGTATCGATTAAATTATAGCGAATCAAAGCATAGCGAATATAAGTTGTTTTATTATCTATATTTTTATTTTTTTTACAAAATTTATTTAATAAATGAATTTTTTAAAAATAAAAAAATAATAAAAAAGCCAAATGAGATGGCATGAAAATTAATTATATTACGTTATTAAATAATTTTTTAATAATATATATACAGATAAAATTAAATAAATAATAAAATATATATTTATATATATATATACCAAATTTGAAGTGTAATATTCAAAATTTTACTCTAATTCCTGCTTAATTAAAAAAATTTAATTCAATTATCTTGAATTAAAAAAAAGTATACTAATTAGATTAGGACAAATCAAAATTTATAGGATAAGAATTATTTTTTTATTTTTATTTTAATTTATTTTTTTATTATAAAATTTATTTCATAAAAAGTAAAAGTGAAAAAGTTTTAAAAAAAGAAGTCCAAAAAAAAAAGGAAAATATTTAAAAAACAAAGAAAATGAAAAAAAAAAAAAAAAGAGTGTTATGAGAACACCCGCTAAGAGACGAAACAGCTTAAAGTTATATCTAACTTGATTTTATTTAAAAAAAAAAATCAATTACGATTTAAAAAAAAAAAAATACTTATGTTGGATTTGTAAGATTCAAAATCAATTGAATACTAATTATTTCATTATCCCTACTTTCATTAATTTTTTTATAAAATTTATTTAATAAAAAATAAATTAAAAATTTTTAAAAATTAAAAAATAGAAAATGGAGAAAGAAATGGATGCCATCAGATACTCACCCCCTATTCTCTACCATTTTAAGTATTAGATACTAAAAGCAAAATATTATTTTTAAAACTTTGTGAAAATCAATGAGAGACAAATAAATACAAAAAAACAAATATTTTTGTTTATAACGTATATTGACTATTGCTATGAATTCCTGTATTCATAGTCATTGGCTTGTTTCAGAACTTTTCTTTTGCAAGTGACAGTTGATACACCAAAACAATATACAATTTTTTAATAGTTTTCACTTTAAAAAAAAAGTTAATTATTGTAATAGTTTTCACTTTCATTCTTTTAGAAAAATATTTTTAAAAAAAAAAGATTAAAAAAAGAAAACAGGAAAAGTGAAAAAAAAAAAAAAGAAGAATAAGTGATTTTTTTTTTCATTTTCTCTATCTTATAATTTTTCCCTTACATATTTTACAAAATAAACATTTTCTCGTGAATTAAATCACAAAAATAAAAAATGCAAAACATGAATATCAATTCATACAATTAGAGTTGTTTCCAAGTGAAAATCACTCTCAATTTAAGGCCATATGAGTGACTAATTTGATTCCTAAAAATTGCAAGGATTAAAATATAAAGATTTTCATTTATTATTATAATAAATAAAAATTAAAATCTTAAAAGTATAAACTAAAATATATAAAAATAAAAAATACATAAAACAAAAAATAAAATTTAAACCAAAACTGTTTTATAGAAAATCATTTTTGTACTTCCTTTTGCTTTAATGTTTTTTCCAAAGTAAAGTTTATAATTTCCCATAAATTAAAAAGATTACACAATTAATAATAATTAATAATAAATACAATGCTTTTAACATCACATGAAAAATTATAATAATAATAATAATAATAATAATAATAATAGTAATATATTAAATATTAGATCTAAAAGTCTTTCAAACTTATATTTTTTATAATATTTCACTTGTGATTTATAGTTTTTTTATTATTATTTTATATTATAATAATTATAAATATATTAAAAATAAAATAAAAAAATCGATGAAGAACAATGGATCCCGATTAAAGAACTAAATTCTAGTGAATATTAAATAGTAAAAAAAATTTTAAAAATTTCAAAGACAAAATTAACAAGGTCGTAATAAGGATATAAAAAATATTAAAAATTAGTATAAACAATATTTTTCACTTTCTTTGTTATTTAAACTTTAAAAACTGGAGAACTGTGTATCTATAATTTAAATTTGATTATGTACGGATAAATAATATATGATCAAAATTTATGTAATGACACTTTTTCTTTTTTTCTTTTTGGTATTTTTTCATTTTTTTCTCGTTTTTATATTTTATAAATATTTTTTATAGATTTTATTTTTGAAAAATAGGACTTTCTTTTTATCAAGCTTTTTGGGGTTTTTTTTAAACATTTTTAAAGATGAAAATACTATATTTATAAGTAATTAAGATACAATTTATGCGTTCATATTCCATTATATAAATGTTGCTTATTTTTATTTTTATTTCACTCTCGTTCAAGGTGTCCGTATAACACCTTATACTTCTTTCTTTTTTTTTTTTTGTTTTTTTCTTTCTTTTCTTTTTAGTCATTTTTTAAATTTATTATTTAAATAAATTTGTAAAAAAAAAACCCAATTGAAATTTTTTTTTATTTTATAAAGTCAAGATCAAATTGGGACAAATTGAGATTTTTTGTGAAATGAGATCGAGGTGGATGCGCGTGTAGGATGATTTGACCTTCAAAAAATATATAAAAATATATTTTTTTATTAATTTAATTATATATATTAAATTTATTTTTAAAAAATTAATATTTTAAACTCGAAAAACGTGTCCATTTGACATTTTTTATGAGTTTTTTTTTTAATTTTTAATTTTGTTTACTTTTTTAATTTTTTACAAATTTTTTAATTTTAAAAACTTTCTATTAAATAATTGAAATATCCATGTATCATCTCTTTTTTTTCACTTTTTATTTTTTTTAATTAGATCAATTTTTTAACAAAAAAACGATGAATAAAGATGTTAAAACAAAAGTATATCTTTATATTGGCTTTTTGGGAGGGGTTTTTTTAAACTTTTTTTAAGGATAAAAATAATGTATTTATAAATAATTAAAATACAATTTATGCGTTCATACATTCATCATATAAATTCTACTTATTTTAATTTTTATTTCACTTTCATTTAAGGTGTCAGTATAACACGTTATGCTTCTTTCTTTCTTTTTTTTATCTTTTTTTTTGCCAATTTTTTTTATTTAAATAAATTTGTAAAAAAAAATCAATTGAAATTTTCCTTTTATTTTTCAAAATCAAGATCGAATTGTGACAAATCGAGTTTTTATGATAAATAAGATTGAGGTGAAATTGTGTTTAAGATTCTTTGACTTGACTCATTTCAATTAATTTATAAAAATATATATTTTCTTATTAATTTAATTTTATATTTATATATTTTTTAAACTTATTTTAAGAAATTAATATTTTAAATTCCATAAAAGTGTCAATTTGGCATTCTTTATAAGCTTTTTTTAATTTTTAATTTTTTTCATTTGTATACTTTTTTCCAAATTATTTTATTTAAAATTTTTCTATTAAATAACTTTTGTACAAATATGAAGGTGATTGAGATATGTTTCATCTTATTTGTTCCTTTTTTTGACCTTTTGTTTTTTTTTTTTTTAATTAAGTAAATTTTATAACAAAAAAATTGATAAATAAAGATGATAAAACAAAAAAATTTTAGCCCACGAGAACGGGTAGGCAACCCACCTAATAAATTATGAACTTTAAGAATAAAGTTTTTAAGTTAATTATAAAGACAGATAAGCTAAACCAACAGATAAATTGGATGAGACACGTCACTAATACATATACTTAAAGTATTAATGTATAGAGCAATGATCTCCATCTTCAAAATGCCACTTGATACATCCTATTTTTCCTTTTTTTTAATTTTTTTAAATATTTAATAAATATTTTTTTAAAATTATAAAAATATATATTTTCTTAAAGATTTTATTTTTATGTGTGAGACTTATTTATATCAATTTTTTTTTCGCTTTTTCATTTTTATCCTTTTAACTTTTTCCTTTTCTAAACAAAATATTTAATAATTTTTTTCAAATTATAAAAAAATATTTTTAAAGATTTTATCTTTATGCGTGGAACCCATTTATACGAAGCGTTTTTGCTTTTCTTTTTTTCACCATTTTTGTCTTTTCCTTTTAAAAAAAATATTTAATAAAGGTTTCTTTTAGATTTTATTTTTTAGATCCACTAGATACCAATGATACATCACATATTTATTTTTTCTTATTTATATGTTTAATAAATAATTTTTTATCTTTTATTTTTAAGACTCACTTAATATCAAGAGTATATCACATATTAAATCATTTGGCTCCTTTTTTTGCTTTTTCTCTTTTATATTTTTGCTATTTAATTTTTTATCTCTTTTTAAAAAATATCTAATAATTTTAAAAATATTTTAAACTTTTTTAAATATGTGGCCCATTTGATATGATTACATAAAATATATATTTTTCTTTTTTGTTATTTTTTAAATTTAATTATTTGTAAAGAAAAAATTTTAGTGGAAGTGTTAATGTCATAACTGGATTTGATTTTTCTCATTTTTTCAGTTCTTTTTTTCTAGATTTTTATTTTTTAAAATCCACAGTATAAATTTTTTTAAAAAAATTATTGTTGCAAATACCACTTGCTAACTAAATTTTCTACCTTTTTTGGTTATCATCTTTTCTTTTAATTTTTTTTTCTTTCTTTTTTTTTTTAAATAAGATATTTTTAAAATAAAAAAAATGAATATGTACATCTGACCCCTTATTTTTTATTTTTTAATTAATTAAATTATTATTTAATACATTAATCTAAAAAATTAATGTTTTAAACTCAATTGAGATGTTCATATAGTATCCCTATAAACTCTCCATTCTCTTTTTTTTTATGTATTTTTTATTAAATTAACTTTGTTATAAAAAATTAGAATAATGGAGATATCTATGTAGTACTCCATTTGTATTTTTTCCTCTTTCCTCTTTTTTGTAGTTTTAGTTAGATAAATTTTACAATAAAATATATTAATTGATAAAGATGTCAAAATAATATGCATCTGATAGGTTTCAATTCAATAAGGGCAATTTTTTTTTTAAATCAAGATCAAATTGGGATGGATTGAATTTTTTTATAAGATACAATATTAGGGCAAAAAATTGTTTAAAGTGTTTTGTTTCAACTCATTTCAAGGCATATATAAAAATATATTTTTTATTATTAATTTTATTATTTATATATATGTATTATATTAATAAAATTATTATTTAATATTTTAATTTTTGAAATTAATATTTAAATTCAATTGGGTGTCCATGTGACATATTCTATGAACTCTTTTTTTCATTTTTTTATTTTTTTTACTTTTTAGAATTTCTTTTGTTTTATTTTTAAATTATATATATTCTGATATTAAAAAACCATTTTGGGTATTCATGTGTTATCTTTATTCGAGATTTTTTTTTTATTTTTTTTAACTAGATAAATTTTAAAAAATAAATAGTGAATAAAAATGGTAAAGTAAAAATATTTAACTCATAAAGTTTTTGTTTTATAAAAAAGTAAGCATACAATAGGTTTTTATCCATATTGATTCAATGCGAGTGTTTTGTAAAAATCAATATCAAATCAAATTGGATTTGTTTATTATAAAAAAGGGAGAACAAATCAAAAGCAAATTTAGGATGCTTTTGTCACAAGTCACTCTATGGTATTTAGAAAATTATATATTTTATTATCTATTTAATCTAAAATATAAATTCTGTTAATGTACTATCAACAGTATATTATCCATGGGTTGCAATGTGTATTTTTATGTTTGTTCATTTTTTATTTGTTTTTAACATTTTCTTTTAAATATTTAATGAATATTTTTTAAAATTATAAAATATATATTTTTAAAGATTTTATTTTTTATATGTGGGATATCAAGCTTTTTTTACTATCTTTTTCACCCTTTTTACTTTTTTCTTTTTTAAAAAAATTAAATAATATTTTTTAAAATTATAAAAATATATATGTTTTTAAAGATTTTAATTTTTATATGTGAGATTCACTTATACCAAACTATCATTTTTGCTTTTCCTTTTTTCACTCCTTTTAACATTTTCCTTTTTAAAATATTTAATTAATAATTTTTTAGATTTTATTTTTTATGAGATTCAATTGATATCAATGGTATATCACATGTTTTTTCTTTTTTTAATAAATAATTTTTTATACTTTATTTTTTTGGATTCATTTAATATCAAGAGTATGCTATATACCTCATAATGCATATGCCATGTGGTGTTTCCTTCTAATTTCTTTTTTTTTTTTTTACTTTTTACATTTTTTGTTTTTCTTTGCTTTTTGATATTTTTAAATTTTTTTCATAATTTTTTTGGATTTTTTAAAATTTGAATAATATTTTTTAAGATTTAAAGTTTTTTAATGGTTGGACCTATTTTATCAAACTTTTTTTTTCCTTTTTCTAAAAATTTTTTTCATTTGATAAATTTTATTCTTGTGCAAAGTTTAATTTGTGTGTCATGTGGCACCCTTAATTTTTTGTTTTTAATTTTTAAATACTTTTTTAACTTTTTATTTTTTAGTTTTTAAAATTTTCTTTATATTTAATAAAATTTTTATTGAAAATTTTTAAAGATGGGACTCAATTTATACCGATCTTTCTTTTTTTTTTCCTTTTCAAATTTTTTTTATAAATATTTTTTTAAAATTTTAATTTTTTTTATATGGAATTCATTTGATATTAAAGGGACATTTTGTTTGCAGATTTTTAAATTTTGAAAGAAAATAATATTGAAAGGAAATATGTGATTCTTGGGTTTTATTGATTTAAAACATAAAATAATTTTGTATTTGGTTAAAAGGAACGTAAAATTACTTAATAAAGTCTTTAGCTATATTATTATTGATAACACATGAAAAACACGTGACATTCATAATACGTTACAAGTGAATAATATGTTATTTTCGTTGAAATTAAAAAAATTTTAAAAGTATATTTTTTTATATTTTCAATAAAGATAATTTTATAATCATAATTATTATCCTTATGTTGATTGTACTTACGCAAAAAAAAATATACAAAATTTATATGTAATAATAATAAGTAAATGCATTTTGAATTTTATATGTAATAACATTAAGTAAAAATATTTTTACGTTTTATTTTAATTTTGTTATGAGTAGTAATAAGAACCATGTTTTTTATTTTAAAAACGTAATTTTTTTTAATTTTAGAATTTTAAAAATATAATTTCAATATCCACTATTTTTTTATTTTAAAAACATATTTTTTGTTAAAAATTCATAATTTTAAAAATAAACTTTCAGCATTCACTACTTTTTTATCTTAAGAATGTTATTTTTATTAAAATTTTAAAAATATACTTTTAACATCCACTATATTTTTATTTTAAAAACATAATCCTTTTTCAACATTTAATATATTTTTATCTTAAAAATATGATTTTCATTAAAATTGTAAAAATATAAGTTTAATATTCACTATGTTTTTATTTTAAAAACATAATATTTGTTAAAATTCTATAATATTTGTTAAAATTCTAAAATTTTGAAAATTAATAAATAAAGACGATAAAACAAAAAAAGAAAAATATTAATACGTGATAACACACGGACATCATACTAGATCCTCTTAGACGACGACCTCCTGTTTGGCTCACCGACAAGTGCCATTTGCCTTTTAACCAAAGTAATGGTCCTTGCGCTCATCTTTGTCTCGTTGCTTTATGTTTTATAGTTCTTGCATTATGCTCAGATCTACAAATGAAATCCCCAAAATACCCTCACCTTCCATCTTTATTTATTTACTCTCAACTACCTTGCTTGCTGCTCCTGCAAGCCAGAAGCTTCAAGTTTGCGAATGTCCGGTTATGTTGAAAACAACCCGTAAGATTGCTACAAAATACCTTTTATCTTTTGTAATTTGCTTGAGAAAAATGTGGGATCTTGAACTTTAAGTGTTGTTCATTTCAGTTGCATGGTTTATTTCCTGATGCTGCTAACTTGGCGTACTTAGCTTTACTTTGTTGGTTCATTTCTGAATTCTGATAAAAGTTGGATAGTTTTTTGGTCAACACTGTACATTTTGGAAAAGATTGTTAAGATGGTGGGTAGGTTTGAGGTTGAACAGTATTCACTAAGCAAGTTGAGACAATTTCATGAAAGGGTTTTGAGTTTTGGCGACAAATTTGTAAAGATTCATTGTAAGCTTTGGGTTTCTGAATCAATCAGTGCACTTGTTGTTATTGGTTTATTTTTATCATTCCTTTTAGCAATGGTATGCACATATTTTTATGTCTTTCCAAGCTATCAGCCGGCGATTCGTACTTATAGAGTTCATGAGTCCAGTGATTTAGTTGGCAAATGCAATGTTTTTGATGGCAAATGGATCCCTGATGAAAGTTACCCTTTATATAATGCTTCACAATGTCCTTTTGCTGAGCGTGGGTTTGATTGCGTGGCGAATGGAAGAAGAGATAGGGGTTATCAAAAATGGAGATGGAAGCCTAAGTACTGTGAAATTCCAAGGTTTAATGTGCATGAGATTCTTGGAAAGCTTCGTGGGAAACGGATTGTTTTTGTTGGTGATTCATTGAGCAGAACACAGTGGGAGTCTATGATATGTTTGCTTATGAAAGGTGTGGCGGATAAGAGGGATGTTTACGAAATTAATGGAAATAAGATCACTAAACGAATTAGGTTTTTGGGGGTGTGGTTCAGTTCATATAATTTACGTATCGACTTTTATCGGTCAGTTTTCCTGGTGCAGCCTGGTCCAGCACCAAGGCGTGCACCCAAGAGGGTTAAATCGACAGTCAGACTTGACAGGCTGGATGATATTAGCAAAGAGTGGATTGATTCTGATTTCCTGATATTTAATTCAGGTCATTGGTGGACCCCAACTAAGCTTTTTGATATGTAAGTTATCTAGCTCTCTTTAACTGCTTCTATTGGTGTTCTTTGGTGTTCTCTTAGAGAATTTTTTCCTGTTAAAATTTTGGTTTGCATTTTTAGTTCATTTAGTTTCATGAACTTTTACTTGCATCTATTTGTGTTCTAAGCCCTGTGAATCTCACTAATTGATGTGATGGATTAAAACGTGATTTCTTTTTATTTCTGAATCCTTGTTTTGGTGTATAGGATATTTTCTTAGTGGCAATGTATCAAAGACTGCAAATGCACATAATAAATTTACAGTAATGTGATGTGCTGATGTTTGATCTTTTCATCCATTTCTTTTTTGACCAACCTAAATGAACATAGTGTTCTGCATGTTGGAATTTAAATCTATTGTACAATGTATGCCTCATTCTCTCGTTGGTGTTCTGATATACTGACAAAATACTCAGCTGCTCTGACTTTTGCTTTTAGGACTAAATTACAAATCCTTATGAATGATTCTTTTTTATGTAGAGATCTCCTAACAAGATTTTCAATACAGGGGTTGCTATTTTCAGGCAGGTGGATCACTAAAGCGTGGAATGGGTATCCCATCTGCCTTTAGAACTGCATTAAAGACTTGGGCATCTTGGGTTGAGACTTCAGTGAACAGAAACAGAACTAGGATATTCTTCCGGACTTTTGAATCTTCACATTGGATGTAAGTCATTCTACTTTCTACCAGTTTTGTTGTCTATTATAATTGTTATTAGTAGCTTTGTAAGTTTACCCTATTATTAGATTTGAGAATGAGATATGTAGAAAGCAAGTGCTCCACCTTATCTAAAAATGATAATAGTAATTGTTTCGAGGGTGCTAAGTTGGGTGATCCATAAAGACATAAAACTTTGTGCTTTCAAAGTTATTTACCATAAACATTTTTTTTTAAAATAATAGAGGATAATTTATTATGCAGGTAGTTATTTTGAAATCATTTGATATTGTGTTGCTTGCTGGATAACAGTTATCTGTGGCATTCTCAACTGTAGTAGTGAGCTTTAGTGCTTCTCAATAATAACCTCAAGGCTCAGAAAGGCTTTGGCTTTAATGTGTCAGCGTATAGCTTCGTAGATCTGTGATGGTAATTAAGAATAGTGAATTGAATGGAAAATTTGCAAGATGCTTAGGTGAAAAAGAAAAAAGAAAAAAGAAAGAACTGATTGACATGGCAAATTCTTTTGCCTGTTGAAAACGATTTTATGGATATGTTTTTTCAAATAATATCAATTATTATTTGTTTATTTATTGGATAATTGAACACTTTTGTTATCCAAAGAAAGCATGAAACCCCTGCTACAGACGTATAAAAGAGAACAAACCTTTGACAAGGGCAATTAAAATTGATCAATAAGCACCCCTTACAACAATACCCCAATCATTATGTAAAACCCTGTTATTTGAAGTATCAACAATATTAATCAAACCAGTTAAGCAAGTGTTGACATCAGCACTGATTAACTACAGCACACTTTCAGCAGTTTGAGATGACTGCTATGCTCTCTCAAATTCCTCTCCCTTCAATTCAAATATGATGTAAGCTGCCCTGGTGACCTTTAGCATAACAGTAGAAAAAGATTTGCCTTCAGAATGTGCAGTAGTCCAAGCAAACCAATCCTGTCAAATTCCAACTTTCCAAACAAGAAGGAGCTCTTTTCTTCGTACTTGCTTGTAATTCACCAGATCTCTAGATTTTTAAGCAGATTACCTCTTTGCACAACTTAACTAATAGTAATCTTTGTGTCTGTATCAGTGGTCGGAACCGTAATTCCTGCAAAGCGACTAGACGCCCTTGGCTAAAAACTAAAGGGAGGGACCATAGCAGAATTTCCGACATTATAACTGATGTTGTGAAGAAAATGACAACTCCTGCGATAGTGTTACGTGTTACCTCTATGGGGGCATTTCGTAGTGATGCTCATGTGGGCACTTGGAGCGACAATCCGTCAGTACCTGATTGTAGCCATTGGTGTCTTCCTGGAGTACCTGATACATGGAATGAAATTCTCCTATCAATGATGCTCTCGGAGGATGGACTATAACATGCAATACTTTTACTCAACCTTCCATCCCCTTTCTGTATCAGGTTGAATAAGAACGCTTGCTTATGGACTCTAATGTTTATGGTTGTATTTAGCATGATATATAGCAAGATGCTAGATCGAGTATTGGACTCTAGTGTTTTGGATGTTAATGCACGTTTACTAATTATTACTAACTGAAAAAAGTCCGAGAGGCAAAAATAAAAACAATACTAAAATAAGTATAAGCTGCAAGTTTCTGGGTTTTTGAGCAATATTTGTTTGGTGAATGTAGCTGTGCTATTTAAAAGCAACGAAGAAAAGCAAGACTGTGGACTCTGCTACCAAGAACTCCCGCTAGCATGAAGCAGGATCGACTCTTGATGAAGAAATATAAACCCATATGCCTTGTGACTGAGGTCAAGGATCCACCTGCTAAATTGAATAGGGCGACTCTTCCTGTCAGCTAGGAACTTATAAATTGTGCATTGGTATCGTTCTCAATTCTCATAACCACTTTCATTGTGATCCAACCGCCTTGGCAATACAGGGAGACATGACCTCCTTGTTACTATCTTAAAGCTTTCATATATATATATATAATTTCTACCCAAACTCTAAACTTGCCAATCACCAAAGTGCAGAAGGTAGAAACAACAACTACCCTCAAATTTACAACTTGCTGCTACATTATAAGGATTGAATACAAACAATATACGTACGCACGAGCAATTCTATTTTCCCAATAAGTAAATACAAAGTTAAATGGCTACTGGCTACCTGGTTTCAATAAAGGAATTAACCTTGTGGGTCCAAACTCTTTGTATTTCATGATTTTCCTTCATCAGGCCATCGTCATTCCTTCAGATTCCAAAACAGCTGATTGAAATACTCTAAACGTGCAAGAAATTCTGTTTTCCCAATATGTAAATACAGCATGGCTTTCAGGTTTTTAAACCTTGTTTAACTGAGTTGTTGGCCAAATTAAAGTAGGCCAATATGGTTTTTCTTTTATATTTTTCATTTCTTTCTTCACCAGGCGACCACCTTTCCCTTCAGATTCCAAATATGTCTTAACCAGTTTTGGATTTCATATTAGCTTCAGCAGAAAAGCAAGGAAAGATTAGTGTTTTCCAATGCAAACAAACCCCATCGGCTCATCCTTTCTAAACTTAGATTGAGAGCCAAGTCACTTTAAACTTTATATGAATTCTAATGCCAAAGAAAATAAACTCTCACTACAAATAGGCTCCCAATGCTATCAGTTTCTGCACCAAAATTAAATCAATATCTACTTTATACTATCTTCTGATATTACAATGGCCTCACCTAATAACTTCAACTTCCCTTATTTCCCTCCACCACCACCACCACACCAGCCTTTCCGGCCACCTCCTCCACCATACCATCCCGCTTCACCACCACCACCTCATCATCCAATTACTCCGCCGCCACCTCATGTATACCCTCCACCACCTCCCCATGTAAATCCACCCCCAACTCCACTTCCTCCTGCACCATCTCCAAATAACCATATGGTTATAATCCTTGTGTCTGTCTCATGCGGTGGCCTTTCCCTCGCATTCCTTGCAGTCGCTCTCTTTTGTTTCCTCAAGAAAAAGAAGAAGAAAACAATTCAAGAAACAGAAGTTGTTCATGTTGATGAAAATCTGAAAGTGAAGGAGGCTATTGTCCCCGGTCCCCATGGACCGCACACTGTGATTCTAGAAATTGAGGATGATTTTCAAATTGATGAAAAGATTGTAAAGACCGAGAAAATTGAACGAGGTTCGAATCTCCACTCCGCAGAGGAAAATCCAAAGGCCCTTGAGACAGGAGCAGCTTGTTCAAGTTCTTATCATCATCAGCAGCTGGAAAACAAGGCCTAGTCTTCTTCTATTCATTATAACAATGTTGTATTCATTTAATATTTAACAGAATTGGTGAAATAAACATAAATACCAAAGGAAAATTGTGCTTTAATTAAGTTCATGTTCTCTTTTTCTTTTGTTATTTCTTGAATTGTAATGAACTGACATTGCAAATGTTCTTCAATGGTTAATTGTTTCTATGATTTGCAATATGTTTGATAACTTAAATTCTTCACTGACCACCAAAGTTTAATTAAAACAAAACTCAAATGCTTGTTTGGTATGGGATGATGCTCTAAAATTTTAAAAATTAGGGTGATTTACACTTAATCATCTTGTTTGGTTGTAAATTAGAAATCTTATATGTCAATGATCTTGTATCATTGGAATAATAAAATTATTGTCTTGAAAGATACTTTGATTCTTATCCAAAAGTACGAAAAAGTTTTATCATGAAAAAATAATTTTTAAAATCTTTTTATGAATGATTATCCCAATAATAATAACGAAAAAACACATTTTTCCTTTCAAATTTTATCTTTATAAACAAAACTCCAAATTATATATAAAAAAAAAGATAATAAATTTAATTAACTAGTTCAATTTCTTTTTATAATTTTACATTAGATTTATGGGAGCACATGTTTATGATTGAATATATTTTTGTAATATTATGTAACGTCTCGATCTCATATCGAGATATTTTAAGAATATGTTATAATATATATATAAAAACTTAAATTCAAATTTATGATGGACCTTTTGTAAGATAAAATCGTAAAATTTTCAGATCAAAACGAATAATATATCACAGGTTAAGTACGAATTTTCACAAATTATAATATGTCACAATACATAAATATGTTAAAAAAACAATCTGTCACATAATACTGTTTCATTTTATTCACCTAATAAATATATAGCCTACCAAAAAAAAAATCTCAATTATCATTAAATATTATTTTTTAACAATTAAAAATAAGAATAACTATTAAAATAAAAATTATACACACAAATTATATTAAAAAATTCACCAAAAAGAAATAAACATTAAAAAGACAAAAGAAAAAAACACGCGTATTAACTATGTAATATAATTAAAACCAATTGCAATGCTTCTAATAATAATCACAATTAAACCATTAATATAAAAATATCGCCAAAGAATTTGCTATTTTACTCAGTTAACTTTGGTAATATTATGCTCCGTCGCAATGCATAAACATGTGAAAAGAACAATATTCACACATAGAAGCCAAGTGTCTTGTATCCTCAACCTCAACCTCTATCTCTATTTTATTTACTTCAAAAATATATCGCATGCAAAGAAAATAATTCTCAATTATCATTATATAATATTTTTGAATAGATAAAATAAGAATCACTACCAACATACAAATTACACACACAATATTAAATTTAAGAATTGAAACATGAAAATGAATTTCAACCAAAAAAAAAAACATATTTTTTGGTAAAAAGATTAGGTGAATAGAGGATGCTCAATTATAAGGTTATAGTATGCCACCAAATTCAATAAGAACTTATATTGGATTTATAGATCAGCCATCCAAAGGGACTACTGGAACGAGAATCGAATCTAAAATTTACAAATAAAATATTCAATATTTATTAACTTAATCAATTCCGTTGATAACATAATATTAAAAAAGAAAAAAGAAAACACAAATATAATATAACACAATCGGCTTTAACACTTTTAATAATAATCACAATTAAATGTTTAATAAAAATTACTATTAAGATTATAATTTTGTTTTAAACTCTTATTAGTATCAACATATGAATAGGGTTATAACTTAAACTTAACACCAAGTAGAATTTTTAATTGATTATAATACTATTTTATTATATTAAATTAAAAATAATTTAAAATGAAAATGATATTTTAGTAATATAATGGAACAACTATATATTTTTTTATCAGTCCAAAAGGTTTTTCATATCTATACTTATATATATATATATATATATTATAGATTATAAATAGTAAGTATATCAAACGAGACAATAATATAGTGTAGATAAATAAAATTAAAATAACTGAGATATATATAGACAATAGTAAAATAAATTGAGTCAAATGCTCAAATTAATGAGTTGTAACTAATTAACCTAATAAAAATGCTACATATAATGACTATTTTTGTCCCAACTTTGTTCAACTTAAAGAGGAAAAAAAAGCCCTTAAAATTGTATTACAAAATCACCTGTCATTCTCTATATATATTATATTAAGAGTCGGCACATATAGCATTGCCCTTAAGCTAAGGTTAATATAACAGAATTAAGGTAGGCCGTAGTTATGCAATTGTTATTGGCCCCTTAATTAGAAGTAAAGGGAATGTCAGTTGAATCTTGAAATGCTGTTGTTGCTTCCTCTATTGCCTTGTTACTCTTGTTGAGTGCTAGAGTTGGTAGCTCTTCTTTGATTTTCACTCCTCACATATTCACTACAGGCAGGTAATATGGCATCTACTACTAGAGGGCCGCAAACATGTAGTTTGGGTTTCGGATTTATCATTTCATGTTTGAGTTATTTTTTATTTAAATTATTCAAACTTCAGATTCTTTTGGATTTAAACTAGTTAGGTATTTTTTAAATTTTATGTAAAATGTAACTACTTTTGCATATTTTCAAATGCAAACTAAATTTGAGCTCGAATTTTTTTTTAATTCTGATCATTTAGATTCTTTCTAATTTTTCTTTGACTCTTTAATTAATTCAGGTACAAATTCAAGTTTTTTCTATAACTTTTTACATCGGATTCATTTCTCCACCTCTACCTTACAGCTTATTTTTCAACTTTTTTATTTCTCTTGAGATCTTTTACTACGATGATTTAATAAATCTAGACTCTAGTTGTTTTATTTTTTATTTTTATATTGAGGATGAGTCACTTGTTAGAGTATATAATATATTATTTATGTTTTTGAAAGTGAAATGTAAGAAATATTTGAATAAAAAAGTTCGATTAATTAAAATTAATTCATGACTAATAAAATGCATGATTTTAAATTTTTAATATTGCCTAATAAATTACCATTGAATTGGTGTTAGCAATTTACTCATTTTAAAATTCTTATGTATACGTTTTTATTAGTTTTTCTATAATTCATTTTAGAGCAAATTAAAAGTAATGCAACCAAATTCAGATCGCTGCAAGAAGGTCAATCTTATTCAAATCTAATAGAAAATTTGATTTTTTTTATTCTAATGAGAATAAATATGAGTATGAAATTTTAAGAATGGGAATGGATATGGTTTTAAATTTTTTGTTAGATACGAGCACGAAGATGGGTAATATAGCACCCATCCCGTACTCGTACCATAAATATATATTTATATATATTTAATAAATTAATTTTTTATTTAATAATTTAAAAGTTATTTTAGATTTATTAGAATTAATATATTTGTATTTAAAAATACATATTTATAAAAAATTATTTAAATGTGCAAAATAAAAATAAAAATACAAAAAATAGTTATTTTTATTTTTTTAAAAGTCAAGGGTATGAGAATTATTAATACTCATTAAGCACCCACAAGGAAGAGGATTAGGATGAATTTGAATACCCATCTAATATGAATATAAAGATGAGTTTAATATAAAAATAGGGGATAAGGTTGAGAATACTCAATCTATCCATACCTTACCAATTGATATCCCTAATTGTAACAAAAATCTTGGTCAACCTACTTTTCTTTGACTACAAAATCTCTTAAATCTTACTTGTGAAGAAGATGAGTTTAATTAGTTACTAGTGCATGGCCCCACTACGTTGGGGATTAAATATTTTGTATTTTAAAATATAAATTATTTAATTTTTTATTTTAATAAAAATTATAATTATTTAACTCACTCGATTATTTAGTTTTTATTATTTTTAATAAAATGCTTTATGTCAAATTCTATAAAATATTGGCAAAGATATTTTAATAATTTAATATGTGATTAATATTATATTATATTATATTAAAATTTAATTTATAATTTAATAGGAGTATTATAGTAATTTTGAAACAAAATACAATATGTCAACTTCCTATGAAGCACTTATAAAGGCAATTACGTAATTATGGTATAAAGAAATTATAGTAATTTTAGTTAATTATGGAAGGAGGGGTATTTTTGTAAATATAACACAAGAGGTAGTTTAATAATTTTGACCAATTATGCTAGGAGAGATATTTTCGTAATTATGATAAAAGAATATTTTAGTAATTTTAGCTAATTATAGTAGGAAAGGTATTTATGTAATTATAGTATAAGGACATTGTAATAATTTTAACTTATTATAATAATTATATTTTCGTAATTATGATAGAAATGCATTTTATTAAATTTAGATACATGTCAACATCTTATTAAATAAAAAAAGGAGTGTTATAGTAATTTTCATGGGAATTACTTTAATACATGTTATTTAACATTTAATAAGTAATTTAATAGGGATATTATAGTAAATTTAGAACAAAGTTCTACATGTTAAATTTTTATGAAGTAATGGCAAAGGTATTTTAGTAATTTAACATGTAGTTAATTTTATATTGTGTTAAAATTTCATATGTAATTTAATAAGGTATTATAGTAATTTTTAAATAAAATATCACAAGTCAAATTTTTATAAAGCAATGGTAAAGAAATTTTAATAATTTAATATATGATTAATTTTATATTATGTTAAAATTTAATACATAATTTAATAGATGTATTATAGTAATTTGAAAAAAAAAATGCTACATGTTAACTGCCTATGAAAGATTTGTAAAATCATTTCCATAATTACGAAATGAAAAGCATTATAGTAATTTTTGGCAAATTACGATAGGGGTATTTTTGTAATTTTGGTAGAAAAGGCATCATTATAGTTTTAGCTAATTATAGTAGGATGAGTTTTTTTTTTGGTAATTACTGTATGAGGGTATTTTAGTAATTTTAGTTAATTATAAGAAAAGAAGTATTTTCGTAATTATCTTTGAAAGGCATTAT